GTGGACAAATCCATCCAACTCCGGGACCTTATGGGCAGAACACAAGCATACTACCCACGCGTTCTTGTGTTCCATGCAAAAAGCTGGTCGACGCGTAAACTTTCGATGGGCATAACATCTCATCTTCTCACCGTATAGGATAATCTCAGCTCCAGGTATTGTAGCCCGGAACTAAGTGCACCGGTCTAATGTGGTAAATAAGTCGATGGAGCAGGTTTTCCATTTGGTATCAGTCTCTGTATCTCTCTGACATACACACACACGGTGCCATTTGATATAATCAGGCTATAATAATATAATATAATCATGAATCAATGATAAGTTAATAAACGGGCTTACGTCATCTGATATTGATTGAAAGCTCTAACCAATTACCAACTTCTCGGAGTTTTTTTTCAATGGAATTTGAGCGTTAATTTGTTGGCCAGTGACAAACATGCAGTAATCGAATCTACGTAGTTGCCGAGCAGTGAAGATCACATTGTCGTGATAATTGTTGCAAACTCTTTTTTATTACATACACACATTTTTGTGTGTGATGGTGAACAGCACACACGGGGCGGAACCTATCGTCACGTAAACCTGTTGTTCAGTAATGGAAATCGGTAACCCAAGTCCACCACGACTTTGAGTGGCGAAACACATAAGGCCGCATCAGGATAGACGCGCTATCTATCACCATCATTGAAACCATAGCTTTTCTGAAAGTATATCTGTGTTGCTGTCGTAACTGATGCATTTCCTATATCATCAACACAAAAAGAAGACAAATATCTCGAGATATTAACATTTCGTTTAATCTTCTCAATCACTCGGACTTATAACAAACCATTATTACGTAATCGCAATGCTAAACTTTTGGCGATTAGTGAAGCACTGCTTATTTGATTACATCACCCGACCTTATGCGCACAGAAGTTTTTGATACAAGCAATCCACTTACCGTGTGCAGTTGACCTTTTACTTCGAAATTTAATAATCTTTGTATGCTTGTACACGTTTGTTCATCATAATTGATTAATCCCGTGTGCCATATATGTGCCTGTTTGTTTTAAGTCAGCGACTGAGAAGGTTAAACGAAATGTTAACATCTCACGACATTTATCTTCTTACTGTTTTGATAAAATGGATAAAGGAAACTCAATGCTACAAATATATATATATATATATAAGAAGTAGTATGTGAATGACTGGACAAGATTTCCCTGGAAGCATACGACCGGTTTCGCGGTTCTTCCTGCTCGTCAGGCATGCTTATCCGGTAATCTTTTGTCAGTTCATTCATATACTTGTACCCAGGAAGTGTATTATTATTGTGACGAGAAGCGCTTCAATTAACAAAATCCTCATTTGATGAAGTGTTCATGTTTCTCTGTCAGTGCAAGTTTACATTTAGAGATCTTTTACGATTCGATCGCGCGTGCTTGACAGTGTTCACGGTTTGACGGTTGACCTCCAGATGTTTTGAATGGAATTTTCGTCAGTTGAGAATGGAACTGATGCAGTACAAGTGTAACAGAGATGGGCTTTACTTTGTGGGCAATAACCGTCGCCAAAATGTCGTTTCTCTCATCAAGTAGAGCCAAACACACAACAGTGTACCGTAGCTCGGGGACTCCAGTATCCTATTTCCGGTGTGATGTATCGTCGAACTTTAAAAATGTCTTTTTACTTCCTTTGTTCTATTTATTAAATATACAAATGCACAGTCAACTTTCAGGAAGGGGGCTGCGGCCATACAAAGGCAGCCTGGGGAAAATACAGATATAGAGGGGAGACGGGCAGCAGTGGAGCGGTTTGAATTCGGAACACCCAGGTCATTAGTTGGTGACCCAACCACTTGGTCACCATGGCCACCACTGTACGAAGCTTCTTTTATTCGTGCTGCAAAGACCGTCGGGATGATTCATTGATTCATTTATTGATGTCAAACGTATAGACCCCCAGAATCCAACGCCACATTTAACTTGTGAAAGATCCTCGCGGTCGTGGTGCTGGTTTTCCAACTTGATCGCACGTGTGTGCAACGAATCCGGTGTCGAAAAGAGGTATTCATGTGGGGGGAAGAGAGTTTGCATTTTTGTCGTGGGTGACGTTTGGTTCTATATAGAATTGCTAGTACAATGAAGCAATTCGAAAAATTTCTGTCAATACTTTGACTCTATTTCACGCATCTTTTTGCGCACTCCAACCATACTACTCACAAATGTGCACAGTACGATTCCTGTCGTTCAGGTATCATTCATCCCAAACGGACCGGATTAAACAAAAAGTTGAATAACGGTGGAAATGCATGTGACAACCAACAAAGAGCACTGGACAACCGTTTTGTCCTGTTTGGGACTTGACAGCACTGCGTACAGGTTTTGTCTCCCTGTCAGCACTTCAACCGCGAATATTTGGGTCGTGACTTCAAATCTTTACCCCTGAGTTACACGGTCGACAGTTATCACCTTGTGCAAATGGTCCGATAAATTTAAATGATGAATGTTTGGATTAGCACAAACAACGCCATTGCATATAAATGCTATCAACTAGTGGGGAATCAACCGTCTCCCAAGGAGTGAAACCCACATCAAACATCATCAAAAGTGCCTGATGCCTGTGAAAAAAACCGAATGGGCTAAATGAAACACTCATCATTCAAAGTTGAATAACCTTTTTAAAGTGCTCAGCAAATATGTGACACAAATTTGTCTCGGAGTCTTCATAGTGTTTATCAATATGCCTCATAGANGAGAACTGCAAATTAAACATTGGTTGAAGTCTTTTACTGGCCATTTAATCGATCGATACTGCACCACTTCAATGAGCTAGTCCCATGTCACTGTTCATCGTTCCTATGAAACAACTGAACTGTTGTAGGTGAGAGATAATAATCCATTCCGTCTCTACGTGAGTGGTCAGGCGAATTGAATCAATCGATCGCGGTAGCCATTTTTGACAACAGCCTGTACCGAGCTGTGTATCTTTTCATTGGTCTTTTCCACAAAATGTCTTCTGTGATACACGGTATGCGAATGTTTCTATACAACACAAAGTTGATTCCTCAAACTGGGATGGGGATGAAGAGGTGATCACAAATCCGAAAGTTAGGTGTACAAACTAATAATAAAGTAGATCAGTCTGCACCTCACACACCTTCAAAATCGTAGCAGACTCATCGGACCTCGAGAGAACGACTCACAGTTAGTTACAAAGACTTCATTTACTGTCGGGCCAAATGAGCTGACTGACTATCACTGAAGACAACATCTGAACAAACATGAATTAAAAATTGGGTTCAGAAATGGTATGAGATGGTTGGCACATTGGAAACGTACACGCTTTCCATGCGATAGGTCCGGAGTTCAAAGCCCGGAAAGGACGATGGATATGCAATACAGATAATATGTATTTGTATAGACTTTTGCGAGAACAGAATGTTCGCATTTCAGTCAAGAATTACACATCTCATCAATAGAAGAAAAGATACAAGTAAAATATTTAGCCTTTAAGGTTACTGAGAAATTCTGAGGAAGCGCGCTCTCGGTTTACAAGGATTCTGGAAAGATAGGGAACTGAGGAATTTCTGTGGTGACTAATGCGAGAGGGTTATAATCGATAACAAGAAACTATAGACGAACGAACGCAGCATTTAGATAAATTGCCGTGTAAAGGATGGTTGGGGTCAGCGAGGATTTTCTGGGCAAATGTTTCACATGCGGACAAGTGAAGTTCACACAGTTTTTTAGATAGCTCATCAACGGGTATAAAAGACACACGACTGATAATCGACAAACCGCGACGAAGAATTTTGAAGTCTTTCTTCAGTAGACCAGCAAAAACCACCGGAGAACAATAAAAAAGAACCGGGAAAACACATTGATAAACAAAAAGTGAAATGATTTTTTTCTTGGCATTGAACCGCCTAAGTCTTCGAAGTTGAAAAGATAATTTGCGAAGTTTCTGTACAGAGTTGTAACTGTGGGACGTCC